GCGAAGCCTTATGCTGGACTCACGCACAGGAAAAACCGGCAAAAGGCCGACACACATTACGATGCAAGTCACCGAATCCGGAACCGCTTCATGCCACAGCACCATTTGATCGGAATCCTGACGTTGGCATGGAAGACTGAAGAGAGGAGCATGCGCAACGACGGCAAAGGCATGTCTCAGGTCCTCTGCGTCAGCAGTCATGAACTGGAGCTCGCTGGCTGCCGGCGGCTTCTTGATTGAGATTCCTTCTGCCAACAGCGCTTTCTCTGCTTCCGGTCGTTTCAATTGAGCCAACATGCTTTCCAGGAGTAGCTCCTTGGTTGGCAAGAGTTTGCTATGACATGACATCTGACATTACTTGCTCAGTCAGGGCCAAGATAAGAAAAGCAGACGAGCTTCACCGTGCTTCTGTGAGTGAAGCCTTGTGTGGTCGAAGTATGCCATGACTTTCAACCTGCAAACTCTTCCGGCAATGACCACTCCTGGGTGGGCTGTTCGACTCAGAACAATGAGGCGTGTCGCCGTCTCGGAGTGGCCCAAGAGCTCCAAGACACGCTTGCCTGCCAGGGCAGCCCATGAAAACCTCAATTCCATGACCAAAACTGCAAACCCTGGGCACGCTGGTCTTTGCCATGCTGTTTTTATGGAGTCGCTTTGCCTTGTTCGATCGGCCGTGTAAAAGGATACAACTCTTTCATCACCCTGCCAGGCTTGGTCGCCTTGGAGTCCTTGGAGTCACCAGCGTCATCTGGAATGGGAGCGGGATGGTCGTCGTCATCCTGGTCCTCTTCAGTAACATGACACAACTCCTCCTTGCACACCTCATCCTCATCCACGTCATTTTCAACCTTGGTTTCCGACTGGTTATCATCATCGGTCACAGGTTGCGCTGGCGGTCTGAGTTTGCAATCCGGATCCACACATCGTTGGCGCAAATATTCCCACGACCTGGCCCTCACCGAATTCACCGCCACATTTGCAGGAACACATTCGTGCTTCGCCAGGGCTTTCGTCTGCACGACAAGTCTGTAAGTTGGCAGCTGGCGGTCGCTCTGCAAAGCCCCCGCCGTGCATTGAACCATTAGAACACGGCAAGCCTTGCCGAACTCCACTGTGCAGATCCTGGGAAAACACTATACACATCATGTACATGTCAGAGTTTCACAGACACAGAGTTTGTGAGTGGGTGCATGTGAAAATGTCAATGTCGCTATCTATGCAAGTTGGTATGTATGTATGTATGTATGTAGGTATGTATGTATGTATGTGTGTCTTAAACAAAACATGCTTGCATGTGTACACCTATGCTGTAACGTAGGAAGGAATTACACAAGTATATGAGTTTCATAAGCCCGCGATAGATTTAAAAGGGACAGCCTGCTGCAAGGTCTAGAATAGACCAGACACTCGTGCACGGAAGCCAAGCAATCCAGCCGCCTGCCCAAGCAGCAAATGAGGACCCACCGATCCGAAGCACCAGCGGGGAGCACTGCCACCAGCGCTTTCACCTTCAGGATGAGATCACGGATCACAGAGACCTTGCTGGTCGTCGCCTCGACCATAAATATCAATTTCTCTGTAGTGCTGATCGACTCCTCTGGACGCTGTGGACACAATGCTGCAATTGAGAACTGATCACCAGGACACTGCTCTAGGCGCTACACCCCTCTCTCCTGGACACGTGTTGTAAAATCAGGAAAATCATCATGCACTATGTCCACATTCGCAAGGTCTTGTGTTGCCATGGCAGCAGCTCGAACTTGAATCGGATCCGGCGGATTGACAGGCGCCTTGAGCATGGGCAGGGTCATAATAAATAGCGCGGGACTCACACTCTTCACTCACATCTGCAGCCGAGGCACAACCTCATCCTCATCCATGTCGACAGCTAGCAGCTCTTCCTCTGCCGTGGCTTTATTGTCGTCACCCTCGGAGCCTTTCTTGTCCTCACCAGTCTCGGCCGAGGCGGTAGTGCCTGCACCACACACAGAAACACAATCTCCCGGTCTGTTTCTGTCTCTGCGAAAGCACATGCCTCTGGCCTGAAGTCGCATTGGATCGGTGCTCTCTGAGTTTCTGCAGCTCTTCGTAGAGGTTTCTGCACTCCAAGACACCGAGGTCGGAGCCTTTCCCGTGCAAAGGAACGCCTTTGCACTGGAGCACCTTCAAGCGGCCTCCTCCAGACAACGAGGAATAAGCAGAGAGTGCGCGATGACAAAGCAACAGCAGACCGCTCGATTCCCAAGTGCACCCCCGCACCTTCACTCTGAAGAAGCCGGATGCAGCGCTGCACGACGGGTTGCTTCACCGCTGCAGCTCCAAATTTTGACTGCAGGAATTTCACCCACTGGGCTGCTGCAAGCATCGGCTTGCAATACTCAGAGACGAACGTGTTCACGCTCACCGCTCTTCTCTTGCACAACGTCTCGTTGAGGAAGGAGATCGAGTGCCCAGAAGGCCCACTCCTGTCGGGTTAATGTGGGGGCCTGAATAATTAGAATAGGGTTTTGGGCCATTATACTATACTTAATAAGGAACTCTAACCATAATATTGGTAATTATTTCAGCTTCTGGTAGTAGCTGTCCTCCGGGAGGCGGGCGGAGGCCTCCTCACTCACAAAGTAGCGGTTGCCCATGATCTCGGGTTTGATATGCTTTGAACATGACAAGCAAGTGAGCCGCAGCTTTGTCTTTGAGTCCTGGACGTAACCGTGCTGCCAGTCACTCTTGTCTTTTAGAAAGGCCATGATCTTCGGGTCTTTGGAGAATGGTGCCTTTGCCATAGCCACCCACCGCAGAACGGTGGACTTCTTGCCGCTACCATAGAAGTTCACCAACTCCTGCAACGCAGCAGGGATGGGGACTGCCGTTCCAAATCAGTATGCATTCCTAGACAGTCCTTGATGACCTCTTGCCAATCACCCCCGCGGATTCGATCACGCATCGAATTGCAGACCTGGATTTTCGTTTCCAGGGATGTTGGACGATACCTTAGCAAGAGCCGCAGTGGTAAAGAGCTCGGTTGCCTACTGCTATGTGGCCAAGAAGCCGATTGCTCTCGGTATCGTGACAGAGCGCCTGCCAGGCGATGACAAACTCCAGGTCCAAAGAACCAGGACCGTAGCTCACCACGTCGTAGCGGAGTCCTGCGACACAGCACATAACATTGCGATAGAGGGCATGCTTCGCGAAACCAATGCCGCTCGCGACTCCTTCTTCCAAAGCTTCCTTCAATCGACCCGACCACCAGTCCTTGGCCATGCTTCTGCACATTTCGACATTCCTAGAACACGGACGAAAGCCCAAAAGCAGAGCCACACGGCAAAGACCAGTGCTAGCCGATGCACCAATTCGAGCCCGTCGCGCTTCGCACTTTCACCCTCTTCCAAGAGGACGCACAAGGCAGCTGTCAAATGCTTCCCATTGTCCAGCCGTGGCTGGCCGTCCTGAAACGCAATCAGTCAACCCTGAGGGAGAACACGACCGATCTGAATGCATGTGCAACCAGGAACAGAAATAACTCATTGCCAACCAAATGTGTAAACGAAGTCTCCAAGTTGAAGGCGTCACTGATGATGCTGGGAGGCGCAAGGGTGGATTGACCATATGACCCTCTCTTGAAGGAGTCAACCAATTCCTGTACCCTTGCTGGTTCCAGAGGTCTCCATCCGCTAGAGTCATCGATGGCGATGTCTGAGACTTTGTAAAGCGCGCTTTTCCTCAGCAGCTACAAAACGTTTCAGCCAAGCTACAACCCTCAACCGACCATGTGTGATCCAAAGCAGACATGACGCACGAACTTGGGAGCGCGGTCACTGTTTACCTGCTCCTGACCCTTCTTGGGCGGCATGCTTGCTATGATGCCTCTGCCTCTCTTTCAAGACTTGAACCCGGCTGCTGTAACCGGGCGATGTAGACATTTGCTCAGTACAAGGCAGCATGCACACGTACGAAAAACACTCCAAGGCCACATAGACAAACATGCCGCGAGGCCTGACGACAGTGGCCTGCACAAGTGCACGTGTGATGCTGCAAGTGAACGGGGTGATTCTCAGCACGTCGGGGGTGCTGACCCGTGCTCCGGCACTTGATTTTTCTCACATGTGGCACCCCTCGCCGTTTGCTTCACCGCTTTGCGATCTCTGCCGTCCCTCACCGGTTTCTTCACCGCTCAGCTCTGCGATCTAGGACCGGCACAGACTAGGGTTGTAGCAAGGATCAAGCCAATACTTGGCACGTGCACCGCATTGCCTAACAGTTCTGGGCTGTACAAAGCTGACCCTGCATCGACATGCTGAAGGTGTGCTGCCTGTGCCAAGCACTCCCTCACAGGGAGTCCGAGCGAGGCTGCAAGTTCAACCGGCAGCATCCACCGCTTGGAGGTCACGTGCCACAGAATAGAGCTTCTTGTCAAGCACGGCAGCCCATTCGCCGAATCACCATACACATTGTAGCCTCCTTGCTGCACTCCCAAGAAGGAGTCCAAACCACACAACTGCCTAGGGATTTTCATGCCTGTTGGCAGCCAAGACACTCAGGGAGTTTTGGCTGACGTCAAAAACCAGATCAGGCCTGCAGAAGGGGTCCTGCCCAACGTTCACTCTCTTCCAGGTGTCGAGGCTGAACGCAAGAGACCTCAATTCAGCGACCAACAGCCATAAGCTGGCCATGCCGAAGATACCAGCAAACAATGCGCAGAAACACAAATGGAACTTAGACTAGACAGGGAATCGAGACAAGACACCGTTGTCGACCAGGGGTGAGCAAGTATGTCCAGTCGCTGGAGCAAGCTGCCAGCGGTTCCAGCCCACGTTTCCGCCTATGACGATTCTCTTCTTGCAGAACCTCACTCTTCGAGGCTATCAGCAAATCCCTGGCACTGGGAGGCTCCGTGCTCTTCACCTTCAAGCATTCTGCGAGTTCTCGACACATCACCTGACAGAGAGACATGACGAATGAAGACGACTCCAGACAAACATGACCAACTACTGCCGCGACAGCTAGCCGAACGAAGCCTCGGGGTTCACCTTCACCTGGACGTCGCAGCGAAGGTACCCCACGGAGTAGACCCTGCTTCGACGAGTGCTCTCGCCCAAGTCCTTGGGCGAGAGCACAATGTGATACATGTCCTGGGCTTCGAAATAAACCCCGAGTCAAAAGAACAGACTTACTATACGAACGGATTCTTCAAGGACTAGGTCTAGGTCTAGGTAACACAACTAAATATTAAAGCACGGTACTCGCAGGCCCAGTCTCGTAATCTTCACCCAAGTAGGTGTCGAGCAACTTGGTATCGAAACCAGGCGTGTTTTCGTGTATCACCCACTTTCTTCTCTCCTTTCTCACTCTCACCATCCAAGCCATTGTCACCGCTGACCGATCATCGCACAGTCCGCGTCGGAGTCCGCGCTGGGACCATGGTTGGCAAGGCGAGCCAGTCAGGTCACCATCAGCTTTGAAGTGACAGCACGGCTGCAGGTGGCGATCACCTGACTTCAGATGAATTTCCAAGTCTTGCTTGAAGCCTTGATTGGGGTCCTTGAAAGCATTTGGGGCTAGGTTCCTGAAAATGAACCATCAAGGAAATACCGCACTCTTCCAAACTGCCAGCCAGCTTGGTTCCTGAGCATGCGCCATGAACTTAAGCTTCCACTTCGGACGAGGGACAGTGCGAGCCCAAGTCACCCTGGTAGAGGGCTTCCAACATCGCCAAGTTCTGAGCCGGTGTCCTCGTGCCCGACTTGCCGGGCCACCCAGGGAACGAAGTGAAGATGTCACCGAAGACATGTGAGGAAGCATCCCTGAGCAGGAGAATCTTTCGACAAGCAGAGCTGCTGTCGCAGGATGCGGACATGGTCAGCTTGAGGGACAGGTCCTGGGCATAGATTTCGGACGCGGCTTTCAGCAGTTCTAGCGCCACTTCAGCAGCACCAAGACCACTACAGTGAGTCGTCACCTGTCGACTGCTGCACCATAAGCTTGACCGTAGCTCTGCATGACTGAACTTCTCTTGCAGTGCCTCGACCAACACACAGGCCCACCGCATGCTTCGCTGCAACACACCCTCGTCAAGCGGTTTGCCGGGCTCGCTTTCGCGGGAATGCATCCTGAAGCTGGCCCTGCGGTCTGGTGGCTGACACTCACCATCCACCCCAAGGGAACTACTCTGAAGACTCACCGTGTGCGTTTCGCAGGAGCTGGCCAGGCTCATAGCGTCATCACTTCCGCTATGGACACTGCCCCCAGTAGGAGAAACCGCAAGGCCATCGTCACTCTCGCAGTCCTGATCAGAGGAAGCAGCAAGGCTCATAGCGTCATCCATGGCCCGCTCCGCAGCTCTACCGCGAGCTCAGGTGCCACCCCGAGGATCTACTTTTCACTCTGACTGTACGCGTGGACACAAAAACCTGCTCTGGCCAGTTGGCGGGCTGCTAACCCGGATTATCACCTTGGCGCTATGAAAACTAGATAACTTTGGTTAGCGGGCGGCCAACCCAGAACATCAGCTTAGGACAGGTAATCCAAAGGTATGAAGGCTACCAACAAACCTGCTCTTCCCAGTTAGCGGGCGGCCAACCCCAATTATCCCCTTGGCGCTATGAAAACTCTCTAACTGTGGTTAGCGGGCGGCCAACCGACAACATCAGGAGTTTGCTTGCACTGGCTCGGGTCAGCTGTTGCCGTGCTCAGGCCCAGAACATCACCTTTTCACTCTGAAGCATCCAGCTCGCTTTGCTCAGATGCATCCCACACACAGCACTGCTGGGCAGTCTCTGCGAAGAAGCCTGGCCTCTTCAACGTCAACCTCATTCTACAGGTTTCTCATGAATAAAGTGTGTGCACAGCAAGCTTCTCAGACTGGCTTAAACTGACGTATCGAATTGACGTTGCTGTTGACAAGTTGAGGAAGCAAAGACTTCACCCTGGAAAATGTTGCCCCTGCCACGAAACATTGCCACACAGCATGGCAAGCCCGGGCATGTCATAGACGATCATTGTACAAGTGTCACCGATGGTGTCAAAATCTTACTGGAAACTATCTCCAGACCAGCAGACGACATGTCTCGTCAAGCAGCTAGTTCGCGAGGCAACGGGCCTAGCAGAAAGTCCTGAAATGAGACTCGGTGACCGGGGTTTTTCTGAAGAAAATGCAAGCACACTTCCGAAACATTGTCAGGGAGCGCGCGAAGGGCAGGGGGCAGCCGGCTCCCATTGAAGTTTAAAATCATTGACATGCTTGGAAAGACCGTCTGGCCGGATGCGACTTCACCCAATGTGGCACCAAATGCCCAGGACTCTGCCTGGGCATTCAGTCGTAGTCCTCTAAGGCTACTCCAAAGTTCTGGCGCACGATATGGCCCAGTGTACGGTGACACTTTCAGATCATCATGCGGAAGGTCGACAGAAAACGCATACCTGGACAGGGGACCCAAAGATCTTCAAGCCCAACGCAGGTAAACCAAAAACAAACAAGGTCAGGACTTATAATCAATCCAAAGAGCCTGGCTATTTTCGCGCAGCGTTCTTGCGGATGGTAAAAGATGGTGGCAGGTCGCACATCACCATGGATCATGTTAATGCAATTGGTGAAGCCCCAATGCCAATTGCCTGGACATAGCTTGCAATTGCACCCCGGATACTGCACCATTTTGCAAGATGTATGTGTCAAGCCTTGGAAGCATTTCATAGATGACCGTCATGCAGGCTGAGTCCCAGCTAACGCAATCGTAGAAGTGGAGGTAAAGCTCTGCACGAAAGGTCTTGTCACCGTCTGCAGCTGAGGCAAGCTTGTGCAGACACTTGAGTTCTCGATTGAACGAAGCATTGTCCTCGAAAACAAATGCCTGTGCTGCGAACATCAGGTCGACCTCGTGCGCTTTCACCGCTTTGACTTCTTGTCCTTCCCAGACCACGGTGGCCTCGAGCTGGAAGGAGCCAACTTGTGCATGTGACCCTCTGTGTGCCCCTGCTCCGGATGCAGCTTCACCATCAGGCTGGAAGGTCGTGATGCGATTAATCGCCTCCCACCGAGCTTGCACTTCAAATGCGGACCTATCAGTCCACTCTTGCCGCTCATCTTCAGACAAGTTTCTCCACATCAGACTCACCTCTGAAATGGCTCGTCGTTGCGATTGGGCGACATCAGGATTCTCTTCCAGAATCCTGGAACGAACTCGCCGGAAATGCTCATGTAGGATGAGAGCATAGCCTGTCCGCTTTGGAGGCGCCATGGCCTTGGCCACGTTCTGCACCGATACCTTCTTTCGCCCCTGACCAGTTGCAGCAGGTTTCCGCTGCGCCTTTGTCACCATTGTCCCCCTACCCTGACTGTGCAGCCCGACTCTATGCGAACTGGGAGCCTCAATGCATTGCATGGTTTCTGCTGCCCTGGCACAAGAAGACCAACATGACGTTAGACAGTCATCAATCATACGTATTGAAGAAGCGTGCCTGCCACTGCTCGTGGCAGCATCGTCTCGTACAGACCTCAGTGAGCCAGCCAGCCAGGCAGTCATGTGGCACTGAAGATGAATCTCTTGCATACATTACAAGAAGATTGCTGCAACTGTTCGGAAGTCCATTTGGGATCGAACTGGGGGCTTACACCGCATAATTAACTACAAACACCAAAGGCCAACAGCAAAAAACAAGAGATGTGTGTTATACTGAAGTCCATTTGGATCTATACCGGGAGCTTGCCTCGCATCATTCAGTATGAACCCCAAATACCACCAGTATAAAATGAACTCCAAATAAGGTACAATATCTGCATTTTATACTGAAGCCCACTTGAATTTATACTGGGAGCTTAATGCATGCAAAACTTTTGATGACGAAACCAGGTCGCAGAGGGACTGCAAAGTGGATGCCTGCTGGAGAACACGTGTTTCTGAGATGTGTCGTCTTGGATGGCTTGAAGCATTGTTGTGAATGAATGTGCCTGTGATGTCTTGTGGCTCAGTTCCATTTGATTTCGCGTTCCTGAACGTAACTGTTTCCCGCTCTTGCCGGTCCTCTCATCGGTGATGGTACTATTTGTAAACCTTGGCACAGGTGTAGCTAAACCTTAAAGTCGGTGATTGCCAAACCCTTCATTCGAAGCTGCTTCGCGTGGCTCTTGCAAGTTGAAAACAGCGAAAAAACAAGAATTCGGGCACCGAATTCTTGGTTTCGGATGGTTTTGCATTGAGAAAGCACGGAATATCCTGAATTCGGATCTAGCTAAACCGTGCTTACGGGTTTAGCAACCTTCATCAATTTGAACTTTGCTTTCGTCCTTTAATTCGAGTTAAACGACACCTAAAGCTTTGCAGCTTTAGCTCAACCTTAAATTCTGTGATAGCTAAACCCTTCATGCCAAGCTGCTCGCGTGGCTCTTGCAAGTTGAAAACAGCGCGAAAACAAGAATTCGGGCACCGAATTCTTGATTTTGGATGGTTTGGGATTGAGAAAACACGGAATATCCTGAATTGGGGTCTAGCTAAACCCTACTTTCGGGTTTAGCAACCTTCATCAATTTGGACTTTGTTTTCGTCTTTATTTAATTCGGGTTAAAGGACACCTAAAGCTTTGCAGCTTTAGCTAAACCGTAAATTCGGTGATAGCTAAACCCTTCATTCGAAAATGCTTCGCGGGGCTCTTGCAAGTTGAGAACAGCGCATAAACAAGAATTGGGGCACCGAATTCTTGATTTTGGATATGTACCTTATTTGGAGCTCATTTTACACTGGTGGTATTTGGGGTTTATACTGAATGATGCGAGGCAAGCTCCCAGTA